TTATTTCAGGAACCAGACTTAACTACCAGGATATGTTTTGAGTGCCAAAAGACACAGACAGGAATCGTTGCTTTTTTCTCCAAATGTCAAAAATTTCTCTGACCCATAATCACAGCGCTTCATGCACTCTGGTACACAGTGTATTTAGCTTGTCCTATTGTTATGGTTGCTGGAATCCTATGGCCGAACATAAACTCTGAACGTAGAAACGTCTAATTCGAAAGAAGACAAAAATGACACATTTGAGGAGTTCATCGAAGCACCACCATGCTCAAACATGTTTCTAAAACCTGATTGGAAAGACATCCATTGCATGGAGTCCACAATGTAATACACCAACATAATCACAGAACCTTACCTTCGCTCTTCCAGCTGCTGGAAGTCAGTGATGAATACCACTGTGGAAGCAGAAGGTGAAAGGAGAGGAGTCCTGACGCACCAGTGGCAGCCCTCTCTCTGGTTGGCAGAGGGAGCGGTGGGAGTGTCAGGGCCGCCTTTGTAAACTGTGGCCGACTGCACCGCACAAAGTGACACAACATAGACCAGTGTGGATCCAATGTGGAAACCTGCGCACGCTCACATTAGACATGTGGAGAAACCACAGTGTGAAAATGACAGAATCAGAGTAGTTCTCAATGTGGAGTGTGGAGGAGAGATGGAAAAGGTTGTTAAGATTTTTCAGTCATCAGCTGGATAAGAAATGAGCAGCAGATAGTCAGTCTGGGCTTCTCTATAGAGATGACAGGATCATGTGTGAGGAGTTAACTGACTTAGCAAGAGTTGTGTGATGGCATGTGTCAGTCGTGTGGTTTAGAATCTTTTCTCTGCAGCTGCTCAGGGGCTGAAGTAAATTACAGGGTTCATAAACTCTATGGCAAGAGATGAAAAAGAATCAGCACTACATGCTGGATCATAGAGAATGTCACACTTACTGATTACAAAAAAGCAACCTGTTGCAGAAATTTAAAAAAGTGTACACTTTTGCTACCTGAATGTTGCAAGAGATGATCCTACAGTAGATCCCTTGTGTTGAGGCAAAGGAGAGTCTGTCTTTTGCTCTGATTGTCTGTAGCAACAATAAGCAATGCCTGTTTTTCTTCCCAGGTTTTTCGGCCTCTTTTCCAAGGTCAACTTTTATGATCCAGGGCTCTGTGTTACTACTGACCATCAGATTCAGAAGGAACAGTCTCTGGCTTTTTCCCATGTCTTGGAACACCGTAACAGGTCTTTACCTTTGCAAAATTATGGAAGTCTGATTGTCTGCTCCATATGTTTTATGGATGTAGAAAAGGCTTGCAATTGTGTTTTTAGTGGCAATGTGGTGAGTGCCAGTGTTGTTTTTACAAGGCCATCTGGTATCACCAAACCAAGTGTTCTGGCTTCAGTGTGTTGAACATAATTCATTTGGACTATGCACTGGGAAAACGTCCTGTACCCATCCTGTTTATGGGGTTTGTAGATGGAATTTCAAGGACATTTCCAGAACTTCTGGGCTAAAAATCCAAGAAAAACTCCAGAACTCATTGGAAGAACCCATCTCCAGGTGAATTTGCCTGGGAACACCTTGGAATCTCTCTTGAGGAGTCGCAGTGTCAATGGGGAAAATAATGCCTGGTACTCCCTCCTGGATGTGTTATCCTTGCAGACAGGCCTCACATCAGTGGAAATTTAATGGTGACCAGAAGCTACCCAGGGTTTCAGGCAACCCTAATATGCAGATGTATGAAATGAAGATATTTAAGGATGTACTTTCTATGGAACACATCTTTTATAAACAGGACAATTCTTATCATGCAGAACCGTGCTAATTAACTGCTAGATTTGGGTTCTTTTTAAAAACAAGTTGTATATTTAAGTTTTGCATTTACAATTTTAAATTTCACATCTTTAGTGGGTTTTCCTTGGCGAGCATGAAAACCCCCCACCACTATAGCAACAAGAAAAGGCCCCGATATCAGTGAACTGTTTATTACCGTCGACTGGGCGTTTATCCTGAGCTGCCTCTGTCGCTTTTCCTCCTCCAAGGAAAGCTTGATTTTGTCCAGCTGTCCCCGGATAACTTCCCGTTGGTGAAAATGAAAAGTTGGGCGCTGCATAGGGGAGAAAAGTTACGAAAATTTTAAGGGCCCCTGACTAAGAGAGGGCCCTCCATATTTATTTATTTATTTATTTATTTATTTGTTCATAGAAATTAAAATAAATGGGACTCTCAATAACAAAAATTAATTATATTGTGTTTTCTCATATTGTTTTTAGCAAAGCGAAATGGTTTGTTCCTGCTTGGAGCCCTTGATGGTGACAGCGTTCAGCAGCAGAAGACAGTGGAAGACAAGAATGACTGTGGCAGTTACTATCCTGCTCAAAAAAAATAAAGTTAGGTTTCAAAAAATAGATAGAGAGAGAGAAAAAGGTAAAAGTGTCAATTTATAACCCAGTTTTTCTCCATGAGGTGGTTAGACTGTCTGACATTATCAACCATTCAGCATAGTTAGCTTAGCTATGGACTACTGTTTGCCTCCAGTTCACTAATATTTCATGAATTAAGGACAGAAATTACCAACGTAAAAGGTACAGGGACATATTTAACATGTCCCTGTACCTTTTACCACTTAACAATAAATGAGTCAGACAGTAGTCCCTCCTGACCCATCCTCTTATAAGCGAAATTAGAGCTGCAGTGTGTAACGTTTATTATATATATATATATATATATATATATATATATATATATATATATATATGTATATATATATATATATATATATATATATATATAATATATATATATATATATATATATATATATATATATATATATATATATACATATATATATATATATATATATGGTAAAACTATCATTATATTGAGACATTATGGCATGAGAGATAATCTGTGAAAAATCTATTTCCTCTGCTTTCTCCCAATACTATCTAGAAACTAATCAGAGACAGGAGAGTTTTGGTGCTGTCAATCACAATGTCATGTGGCTGCTCATCCCTATGCTGCAGCTTGCGCGTCATGTTGTGAATGCTCAGTCTAGTTCACATATCTACTAATGACACCAGGTAAAAATTTTTCCTGTATTGATGAGTTGTTTTTCCACCATTAACACATTTAGCAGTGAATGAATGAGGTTGATTGTCCTACTGGTTCTGATTGGTTGTTTTGGTCGGAACGTTGCATTACTTTAGCTACCATAATAACTCAGGGAGCAGGTGGGGGAGATTGATTGTTTTCACAGATTATCTGTCTCAGAACAAACTGGCGCAACATGGTGACAGCTTTAACAAATATGGAGAAATCATATATTTTTATCAAAGTTATACACTGCAGCTTGAATAAAATGCAACTACATATATTTTTTTTGAGAAGTCTGGATCACTTCATGTACATTTTGCATGTTGCTTATGTCTGTAATAACAGTGAGGAGGGTTTGAAAAGTCAACATGAAGCATACACTTGGCAGGATGTAGAAGCAAGTTGTGTGTTCTGTGAAATACTTTCTAAATAAATGAAAAGCTTTGAAAGACGAAATTCTGCACTGTGAAGGAGACCTGGTGTGTCACTGCCCCCTATTGGAGAATAGTGGTAAAATCCGTATTTCCTCCAATTCAATTTGGGGACGTAAATGAACAAGACCCAATGCTCCTAATCTCTCGGCTTTGAGAGGAGAGTGAGAATTGTCCACGGAGTTAATATCTAATACACTGAATGTGCTTCACATTGTTCATGTTTCTTCATGTTTACTGTACAAAAAGTTACATATTGTCATCTCCCCAAAATAATGTCTTTGGTCATTTTATGCCAAAAGTGATTTTTTTTTCTCAAAAATCACTTTTAGAAAAAAAGTTGCTTTTTTGGAGGGGAGGAAGTGGGGGGAAGGGTAGGGACATAGGCCAATTTTTAAGAAGGTGACGCTGTTCGTTATTATTTTTGGCGTGATTTTACTTTTACTTAACACAAGTTTCCACTAGAGGGCAGTTAACTACAATAAATGACATCCATGAGTAAGTTTCCATGAGCAAAACAAGGCTAGGTTCCTCTCATTCATTTAACTTGGCTACAGTCTGACTCCATCTTATTTATAATAGCATAATTATCACTTCATACAGTCCCTTGTTAAACTATTCACATCCATTGAACTTTTTCAGACTGTGTTACCACAAACTACATGCTTTCTTAAATCTTTGCAAATAAAAACTAGAAGTGTTGAGAAAATAGTTTATGAATCATCTTTTCATTCAATTCTGACACTCACCCATATCCAATTAAAATGCTTCCATGACCATGATGAACCTGCAGCTGTGTTAAACTTTTTCTGTTCCATGTGATGTATTTAGCAGAGCTCTGTAAGATGCTTAACCCTTCAGATCATATATCTTATTTTATTAACTCCTGGGTTTCTAATATCAAACTCCCAACACGGCATATGATGACGAATTATATTCCTGCCTTTTCTGAAGCCAATTTGAAGTTGTCACAGAAATACTTTCAAAGCTAGTCAGTCTATGTTTGTCATTTCATTCTTGTCATTATTTTACATATGTAATGAAATACTCTCCAAGGGCTTCACAAAACTGAGAAGAAATTATTCTTCTTGGCATTGTAACATGAATTTACTGTTAAATTACTTTTTTACACTTGCTCTGATTAGTGTGAAATCTATGTTCAAAGGTAGATTCTCTTTAGATCCAATTACAAACAAGTTGATCACATCTAACCTTTGAAGATAATTCATAGCAGTTTTATTTAGGATAATTCGAGTAAAGATATGACTTTTTTTTATTTGTAGGAAAAAATATCACGTTTGTGAACTTGCAATGTGAAAAATGTGCAAAAGTTTAAAAAGGATACTTTCACAAGAAACTCTTGTAGCTATAATCTTCCCGTAGTGTTTCTAATTTTAATTGGTGTCGTCTGGACAAAATCCAATAGGTGGCAGCAGTCGCTGAGAAGACTGAAGCACCCTCCCGGAAATTATGAGTCGAAGAAGAAGGCAACCCTTGGAAAAAAAGGACTGAGTGCTGTGGCAGTGTCTGATGATTAGCTAACAGAAAATACATAGTCGTGTTAGTGTTACTAAACGGTGATATTGCTCTATAATGCATATGGTTATTTTGTTTACACTCTGAAGACTCTCCTTTATCGCTGATAATGATAACAATGAAGCTACCGATGAAAACTGGCGAGAAAGGAGGCGACGAGACGGCGGAGGACGATTCGTTGGATCCATCCGAGAGGCAGCATATCCCCAGGGCGGCATCTTCTCCTTCGGTGTACGAGAGGCTGCAGGAGCCGCCGAGACCCCGCGTCTACGCATCGCTTCTGGACAGAGAGAGTGTGTTTGAGTGGTTCGGCCACCATCTGAACCCCGCCAAGCGGATCGAGTTTATGTGCGGGCTACTGCATATGTGCCAACCCCTGGAGCTCCGCTTTCTTGGATCATACCTGGAGGACCTCGCTAGAAAAGATTACCACATTTTACGGGACTTTGAGTGCAGGGCGAACAACCCGAACGATCTGGGAGTTTTAACGGACGTGGTCGACCCGGTGATTCGGTCCAAACTCATCGTCTGCCTGTCGCTGCTCGGTTCTGACAGGAGGGAATGTGCTGGAATACTCTCTCGGATACTCAGCAGCGTGGACTTGGCCTTGTCGTATAGGAACTATGACTACTCCCTGCCTCCTTTCAGGGACCCTCAGCATCACCTCCACCCGTTCTATCCACCGTGCCAGGACGGTTCTGTGTGTGAGCAGAACCGGGACGAAGCAACGGCAGGGGCTCTGGAGCAGTTGGCGCTGCTCTATACCATGGCCTCACTACACCCAGCTTTACATTTTCACCAACGGGAAGTTATCCGGGGACAACTGGACAAAATCGAGCTTTCCTTGGAGGAGGAAAAACGACAGAGGCAGCTCAGGATAAACGCCCAGTCGACGGTAATAAACAGTTTACTGATGTCGGGGCCTTTTCTTGTTGCTATAGTGGTGGGGGTTTTTCATGCTAGCCGAGGAAAACTCACTAAAGATGTGAAATTTAAAATTGTGGATACAAAACTTAAATATATAACTTGTTTTTAACAATGACCAAAGTCTAGCGGTGAATTCTGTAGTCAGTGAATAAGCTCAAGGCTCTTTAACATCGTAGTTTAGCTTTAGCATTAGCTGTTTATACTGATGATGCTAATGATGCTAACCGAGTTAGCTAACACGTTAGCCAGCCGAAAGTAGCTAAAAGCAGCTCAAGCTGGACATACGGTGCTAAGCTGAGGTGGGCCGGAAGTAAATAATAATTATATATATGGAAAAGAAAAACAATAATAAGGCTTATCTTTTTACAACGTACATAGCCCTTACTCAAGCTAAAATTTGGAAGGCTTATGGCAAAAGTTGTATTTATTGATTGATTCCATTAATGAAATATGTATTCTTTATATACAGTCGTCGAATGAAGAAAGTACAATTCAAGATTATAAAATATATATTTTAAAAAAGGATTACAGTTGTAAAAACAAGAAAGAACAGATTCTGTCTGATTGGTGCTTTATTTTAATTGATGCTTCTCTTACAGATTCATTACATAAACTAACTGACATTTACTTTAAAAAAAATATAAAAATCACTATTTTAATTATTTTCATTTACCAAACATTGTACTGTGTTTTATGGATGAACATCTGGACTTTACCTGTCTATCCTAAGGCCGTAGTAACAGATGTGTTGTTCAGTCAGAAGCTGCTTTGGAAACTGAAGTCATGCTGCCATTTTATTTCTCAAATTAACAAAAAGGTATATGCTTTACCTCTCCTTAACCTCAACACTAATTCAACATGTGCTGCTTAAATTAGTTCTTGTTATCACACTGGCACAATAAAAAACAAATTAGTGCTTAAGCATGTTCTTAGTTTTGCCACACACAACATTTTACTGGGCCTTGAAGAGAAACTGTAGTTGACTAAAGAGAAATCTTACTGGATCGTTTCGGTATTGTTGCTTAGTAGCCAGAGATCCACATGTGGAGAATGGGGGGCTGGTGTTGGGTGGAGGGAGATACGGAAGTGGGAAGCTATTTGAGGCAGAAAATGCGCCTGACAGTCAAAATAAGGACAAGTTCATGCTCAGATTAGATCCGGAGTACCAGATCTAATCTGGTGCCAGAAATGCCTTATGAAGTCACGTCCTCAGCCTCTAGCAGATGTTCAACTTAATATTTCAGAGGAGAAATTCCTGGCTTGCTGCTACGGGTTCATAGCAACTCATAAATTTGTCTTAACAGGCCTTTTAATCAAACTATGCATGTCAGTGATGTTACTGACTAATTGAAATTGTGTGTGGTAAACATGTCCTCCTGTATGCTACAGTGGCCGCCTTTTCGGACAAAGTCAGTGACATTTTTTAAAATGTATTATTATGTCAGAAAAAGAGACTAGCGACAAGCCTGGTGACTTCTTTTTGTGTTATTGAAGACGTTTCATGTTATAAAAAAATCAAAGTCGGTCAGAAAACTGCACAGCTGTTGGAAACACTTTACTAAACAGCTAACTTAGTGGTCCTCACTCAATAACTTCCACACTGAAGAGTGTTGTCCTTAGCGAAACTTGTAGCTGTTCTGTTTTGGTTCATTTACTGACTAGAAAAGAGACAGGATAGTTTTTGACTGTCCAATCGCTGCTCAGGGCTGGTCAGTGGCACATTTTAATCTGTTGTTGATTCTATGTTGCTTCTCAAGTTGAGCTATGATATACCAGTTTGTTTTTGTTTGTTTTTTTAGGGTAATAATATCAAAAGAATCCTGTCCTGCTTTTATTCTTAATCAGTTGCAGGAGAATGACTGGTACTGAACTTAACACGTCCGTTTGATTTGATGTACTGACTGAGCTGTTCATGTCCTCCAGGAGATGCTGGGCCAGCAGCTGGACTTCACGCCCTCCTCAGTGCAGGACTTTGGAGAGTGTCCAGCCTCCCATCCCCCCTGCCAGAGCCGGCGCTCTGGTCGCTGGGCAACACAGAGAGAAGGTAAGAGAAACGGGTAGGATGGATGTTCACGGGATGGGATGTTTAAATTCCTCCAGATGTCAGGAACAATATTCTAAATGCATATTAGAGGAGAAGTAATTTTTTTGTCGTTTTGCAGCCGTTCACATCGAGAGGATCGTACTCAGGGGGATCTCTCGGACGGCAACAGATAAGGAATACAGCTTTGAGGTAAATCATGGCACATAGCTCTGATTGATTGATGTGTAATGTGGGATTTGGCAATGATTTTATGGCAAGAATTTATTAATATTGGAATTGGGCTGTTCCGACTGTGGTGAAAAAGTCAGATATGGGTCGGATATGGGCAGAAAAATCCGGATTTGGGTCAGCGTAGCCACCGGAGCTTTTTTGACCAGAACTGGTGTTTGTTGTTGTCCTGCATGGATGATGGAGTTCTGTCTGCTGGCTTCCAGGTGAAGTGGTCAGACTCTTCCTCCAGCAGAGTCACCAAAACCCACCAGGAACTGGAGAACTTTCTGCTGAAGGTGAGCACTCTGCTCCTAGAAGTTGACGTCAGACCAAACAGACAGAGATCATATCAGTGAGATTCTTTTTGTCCAGCTTCCAAAGGATCAGTGCACGGACTCTTTTGAGAAAAGCATCCTGAGGCTCCTGAGCCAGGGGGACCAGTACGAGAGCAGGGAGGTGGAGAAGAACCTCAGGTAACGGCAAGCTAGCAGCTAGTTCAGTCGCTGATAACAAGCAGACCTGACAACGCTGGTTACAGTCAAAGCAATGCAGAAGGAACATTCTTTCACTTTTTTTTGACATAGACAAACTTCACTGCCATTTAGCTGTTCATTTAAAATGTTCATATTGAGCCAAATTCTATTGCAATAATGATAAAATAAGTAAATAAATAATAGAAAGTATCAGTATAAATATATAGAATAAAGAGATTTTTTTTCTGTTCTTCGTATGGCGTTATTGGAAACTAGAGGTGTTCTGATCAATCGACTCTGTTTTTCTTAATTCTGGGAGTTTGGCAATATTTGTATGTGAAACAATCGTTTTTTTTTTTTTTTTTATTTATTCACCTCTGGAAAGGTCTGAAAATCAGCCACTGCCACCAACTTAGAAAATTTGTCAACAAAAACAAAAGAGTATTAAGTACTGTAAGGCTTCTTTAAGCTCAGTGATCGGCCAGAAAGGTGCAACTGGTGCAGGCCTGGTAAAGACCTGATAAAAGGGTTGATATAATTGCTCTGAGGCTGTCTGGAATCTGTCCGGATGATTCAGGTGAAGGCTCCTGAATCAAACTGGGACCACTGGAAGTCATGGTGAAGTGGGACATTGCTGCAGACAGCTGGAGCTGCTGGTTTCAGGACTCTGTAGGTTTTGGTTTCCAGCTCCCTCAGCTCTACCTCCTGTCCTCCTGTCTGAAGCTTTCATTTCCTGTGAAGTGAAACTTTGGAAAATGAAACCAGCCTGGTTGCTCCTCCTTCTCTTTCTTCTCCTATCACATCTCTCATTCTTTTCCCTCTGGTTTTAACTCTAGAGTTTGTTGGCTTTATGCTTGTAGAAGATTCTCACAGTAGGAAACTAGAGAGATTTGGATGAAATGTACTTACAGTTTTATCACCATTTTTGTTTTTCATTATGCCAGTGTGATAACAATAAAAGTGATAATATGAGTTTTTTTTCATTTTTAGGTAGCTGTGTGCGACTGCATAATGCACATACTGGTTTTAAAAACACTCTTCTTGAGGTCACCAGTCACATAAAGTTATTACATCACTGAACTGGACACAGTTACTGCATTTAATCATGTTTTCAAACTTATTGGTATTTACTGCTGCTCTCACGGAGAGTGGAGAAAAAAGCTGACAATGCTGACATTTTTTAACATTTTTTTATTTTATTAATGATCATTTTGAGTTGTAATGAGAAATAAAAAATCTTATTGTGAAAAGAAATTTATCACAATAAATTATAAAACAATACACCCACCCTGGAGAGGGATGACAGTAGTTATGTCATCTTTTAAAACAAAAATGTTCACAATCGATACGTTTCTGTGAATGAAACCAGAAAAACAATTCTTTACTTCCTCTTTAAAATGTATTTCTTCTTGCTGTGAAATGTTTTAGTGAAAGCTGCCACATGTCAGGAAAACGTTACTCTCATATTATTGTTGAATGTCTCATTCATTATGATGGACAAACATTTTCCCCAGTGTCTCCCCCTTGGCTGCCCCCTTGAATTGTTCAAACCCAGACACATGAATGTAAAGCGGTTCAGTTCTGACATCATGACAACAGCGTCTGTGTCTGCCTGCAGGGAAAGGTTTCTGTCTGCCCCGCCTCCCTTCAGGCAGACCAGGAAGGTCTGCAGCTTCTTCAGCTCCTCCAGACCGGCCTGCAGATGTGAGTAGGAACCTGTGACGAACACTGAGTAAAGGCTTTAACTAGGCACTTCAAATGTTGAAACGTGGACTACACCTCTTTTCTGTTTGTTACTGAACTATTGTGCAGCCCAACACTTTTCTATTGAATCTGCTTAATATTCCCGACTCAGTGATGCAGAATTGAACTGTCAGTGAGATCATAAGTAAATCTATTCCAATTTTTCAGGTAAATCTTTCTATGATTCAAATGCCAGCTGTGTGATGAACTGCTGCTGCTGCTGCTCTAGAACCAATCATGACTTGTTTTTGATGATTTTCTGTCTTCCAACAGGTACCTTACATCCTGGGACGACGTACCAGCCAGACTGCTCTGACGCCTCCAGTCAGGATGAAGGTGGGAGGAGCGCTGATTGTTTCTGATTGTGACAGTAAGGAGGGAACCTGCAGGTTAGATGAGAATCTTAAAGCTGCTGCCCAGAAGCCTGTCCTTCATGCTGAGCACAGCCACGGTGGTGGGGGGTGGGGTGGTGGGTTTATTTTTGGACAGCTCCTGTCATCATATTTCAAGGCTATATTTGCTGTCCGTCGTTGCCAGCCTCTGGTCAGCGTCGCCGCAGCAACGACAGCTCCAAATGCTAACATTGACATAGCTGAGGTCACAGGTCAAACAGGCCTCCAAAATTGATTTTCCAGTCACCTATCCGCAATCTGATTTAGGTCCAGACTTTGACTGGGCCATTTTAACTCTGGAATGCGCTCTACTCTAGACCAGTGGACATGTTTAGGGTTTATATGTGTAGCACAAAATCCCAGTAGAATACAGTGTAAGGCAGATATAAGCTGTATGAATATAAATGTTGGTATGAATATGAATGTTGGTGTGTTTATTAATATACTTTCTGCGCAGACTCGTATGTTCAGGGACACAAGAAGAAACACGCGTCCAAGAGTCCATGTCAGCTGTGAGTAGGACGGCCTTTTCGCTCATCAGAATGACTTTCTGGATGCACGTAGTGACAATTCTTCTTCTGTGCCAGATTGTCACGGGCCAAAAGCCCCCAGGGGGACACATGGAGAGGGGGCCATGCAGCAGAGTTCAACGGGCCAGCAGACAGAAGGAAGAAGAGCAGCGTGGCGCGGAGCAGCCAGGACACTGAGCAGGTAGGACAACAGGAAACAAACAACCTTTCATTGGTAAATCCCTGTTAGTGTGGCATAGTAAAGGTTTTTCCTTATTATTCTGATTATTTCCTTGTTATCACCAATGAAATCAGTTTTCTTTTTTTTTCCGGTTCATTTTCCAGGGTTTCGCCCAGTGTATTAGGCCTGGCGGCCCGCCATGCTTTACTAGCCCCACTGCCAGGCTAAGCTTTTATTTATGTTTTTAGGGGGAAAAAAATGCTTTTTTTTAAAAGCCATATTGCAAGCTGTTGCTCTGAGTGTTTCACTGATGGAGCGGATTTATTCCTAAAAGTAAAAAGATATGTTTGTAGAAGATATGTTAATAGTTTATTCATCTAAAGCTGGACCAATCATACCGCTGGCGCTTCTGCTCGTTTCCTCGCGCGCTGCAGCAGCTGGATGTCTTAAGTTTACCTCAGCGTGGATCGCGCATGCCTCCTTTCACTCAAATACATTTGACATAGGCTGACCTTTATGGATATTTACATCAAGCCTCTGTGAGGAATTATGTCTCTTTCCAGAGTTTTTGATTAAGGTAGGAGTTTCAACCCCACCGCGTTAACTCTGGTGGCGCAGCTCTACGTGAATTGCAGAAATAACTTGTAGTTGCGCTTTCAGAGGAGTGTTGAGAATTATTTATATTTATGGACAAAGAATTTTCTTCGGCTTTTACATTTCAACATGCTGCCTGACGTGTGGCTCTGTGTCTGTGTACGCTGAAAAAGTTTATGTATTCCCGGATGGCCGGTGCATTAGTGGTTAACAAACCAGCGCTAATCACTCATCATGCAGGATCAACCCGGTGAAGAGCTTTCGCTCTCGCCTGGTAGTCACGGTGGTTTTATATTATTTTATTATTATTTTTCTGATTACACAATGGATGAAACCATATCAAATACTTTGCCCTCAGCGTTAAAGTCCCATTAACCGACCAAAATAGTTTCTGTGTCCTGTTGTTAAAAATTCAGCAGACACAAAATGGAGAGTTTTTGCAGTTTAAAGCAGAATCAGGAAAGCTTCCTGTCCTGTGGAGGAATGCCCAGGAGCTGCTTCCTGATTGGCTGTCACATGCAGCTGCTGTAATGATTTCCTCCGTTTTCACGGAGCTAACCATGAAGACGGGTTAATGATTGCAGGCGCAGACATGTGGAGGGATTTGGTAAGGCTAGGAATGACACAGCAGTGTGTGTGTGGTTGCCACGTGAACGGGATGTGTGAGAGAACACGTTGCTGACGGAGAACATCCACCATGGAGCTGCTGGACGTCGTCCCAGTCATTTGTTGTTCATTCTGACCTCTGACTTTCCTTCCAGCACCTGGATCCTGACAGAAGGAGCCACCCAGCATCTAAAAGCAAGAGCAGATTTTTGCCCGGAGACAGGTAGGTTCTGCAGAAAAGGAAGAGAAAAAAAAAGCAAGGTAGACTGGAACAAAACTGCTTAGAAATTAGTGAACCACCAGGGGGAGCCGTCTGACGGCTTTAACACAGCTTTGTCTGTACATGAGCCTCTGACGGACGCCTGTTGCAGCTGCACTCATCGGGGCCATAATGTGTTACTTTGGGATCTGTAAAGACGAAGGCCTGAGGAAGAGGAAGAGCCGCCGCCGACATTCCCAAACGAGACTTAAAGCTGCAGTATGAAATTTTATCAAAAATAGGTTTTGACATAAAATGCAAAACCAAAGACAAAAATTATTTCTCATCAAATTATTAACACAATTTCAGTGATTTATAATACATATTATTAGGCCTGTCACTATAATAGATTTTGCTGAAGGATTATTTGTCTCAAAAATTATTACGATAAACAATAATATTGTTTGAAGACCTTTTTACACTGATTTAATGGAAGTTACGTAATAATACATACAATTTCCTGGCAAGTTTTTTCAACTACAGAGTGAATGTTTGCAGTCCTTACATTATGTAGAAACTTCACATCCACTTTTGTCCTCTAGTGCTAAGCTTAGCAGCAATCCCAGTGTAGAGATATTTCAGGTCCAGCTGATGTTCTGGTGCTGATGTTTTCTGTCTGCAGGGACAAGGTGACTGTGAAGGGTAGAGGCGCTGCCTTTCTGACTAATGGCACTTTGTTACCAGCCCTGTCACCTCAGAGGAAAGGTGAGGAACTACAGAAGTTGCTAGAGCAACAAGAAAACCCAAATGAATGAGAAGATGGAAGCTGCTGTGGGAAATGTTGTGACTGACACGACAATGTTGTTTCAGTCGGACCTTCTCATGCAGATACATTTGGGGAAACGTCGTCCGAGAGCTGCAGCTCTCCCTCCAGCCCCCAGTACAGGAGTCGCCAGAGTCTGGAGAGTGACGACGACAACAAAGGTGAAACACACTCACACACACACCAACACACACACACCGCTCCACCTAAACCACAGCAGCTTCTGAAATTATCAGTAAAAAGTAAGAACATGCTACTGATTTTAAAAGTATGTTTTCCTTCCACTCAACTTTTCATCACTATGCTTGGATATAGCACTCTGTGAGCAAAAAGCTTCTTTCTGTAACATTTAAGAAATAAAAATCAAGATTTTTAAAGGTTTTCTGAAGTATTCCAACATTTTCAGGAAGTGATTATTAGCAATAATCCATAGTCATGTTTGATCTCTAACTGATAGCTGTTATTGTCTCTGTCAGACTCGGACAGCCACTCTGAGGACGGCAGTAAGGGCGTGGCCCCTGGCCTGTTCTTCATGCAGCAGGCAGACTCCGCCAGGTTGGCAGACGGCCCTCCCCAGGGCCCAGACTTCGTCTCATCCCCTTACCTGCCCCCTCTGGCCTGCTTGCTCCCCAATGGGGGCCCTGAGCCCGTGGCCCCAGATGGGAACCCCCATGCAGCAGGGCCACTGTCGGTGGTCCCCACCCCAGGGATTGTGGGTGATCCGGAGAAGAGGGAGGTGCTGACGACCTTCGGGGGCCCCCCACTAGCCATGCACCACTCAGTGGGTGGGGCGGTCCAGCCTCTGGTCCAGAGGTTTAAGACAGCACTGCCCCACAGCCAAGGGCCCGGTGAGGGGGAGGCCCCTCTCAGAGCGCTGGGGTCAATGTCACCAGGGCCACCTGTGTACTCACCCCCCTCCCTGCCCTGCCAGGATCCCAGCCTGGCCCCACCCCTGCCCCACATAGAGCCACCCCACCCCAAGCTGCATGGTATCCTGCCCTCTGGGATGCCCTCTCCCTACGCCCTGGCCCCTGTGCCCCCCTCTGTTATGCCTAGCCTAGGGGCCCCTGGAGTGGCGGTTCCTTCGGCCGTCCCCTCTAATTCCCCCGGGCCCCCGCCCAGCCTCAGCCCGGCGCTCGGCCTCAGCACGCCACAGAACGATTCCTACAGCAACAGCAGTGCTTCCTGTGGAAGCGGTCCCGTTGCCCCTGGCAACCCCGTAGCTGTCCAGCAAACCCAGCAGCAGATGCCCCCGCAGCAGCAGATGCCCCCGCAGCAGCAGATGCCCCCGCAGCAGCAGATGCCCCCGCAGCAGCAGACGCCCCCTGTGGGATGTGGGACCTGCGGTTGCCATAACAACTGTGGTAACCGAGGCAGCAGCAGTGCGGTGGGCTCCTCTGGCTGCCAGCCGCCCCTTTACTTCCACCACCAGATGGCAGCAGTAGCGAGGCAAATGTTCAGTGTTCCTCAGTCTCTCCTCTACCTCGCCCAGACCCAGGCCCCCCACCAGGCCAACGGCCCCCCCACAATGCCCCCCTTCTTCCCTGCCGCCCCACCCCCTGTCCACCCGTCCCCCTACCTGCACCCCCACAGCCAGGCGGAGGGCCCGTCCCACATGATGGGCAGCCAGGCCCCGGTGGCAGTGGCGGCCACCAACTACAGCCTCCAGCAGCAGATGGCGCCAGCGGCATCGTTCTCTCAGCGTGTCTTCCAGCCGGTCTACCCGGGTCACCTGGGGATGCTGCCTGCTGCCGTGCTGGGGGGCGGCGGGGTCAACAAGAAGAACGGCACAGTGTCCTGCCACAACTGTGGAGTGAACGGACACTTTGCTCAGGACTGCAACCAGCCCAGCATGGACTCCAGCCAGCCGGGTAAGGAAGGAGCAGCGGTCCATCACTTTGTGTCACATTTCACTTGTTTTACTGGGATTTCATGGGACTGATCAACTCAAGTAGAGAATCATTGTGATTTGTGATTCTTCACAAATAAGAATCAGGGTGTGGCATTTGCATGGAGCTACATTGGGGTCAATAGTTTTTAAACTAAAACAAAATTGAAAATTAAAAATGTATTGTAAACTGAAAAAATCTTTAAAAAAAAAAAAAAAAATATATATATATATATATATATATATATATATATATATATATATATATATATATATATATATATTTATTTATTTATTTTTTTTTTTTTTGTCAGAGGGCTTTATGGCCCCAATTTAACTCTTTACATGTGTGTCAAAACCTTTACATGAAAATAATACTGTTTTCTCGTCTGTGTGTGTGTGTGTGTGTGTGTGTGTGTGTGTGTGTGTGTGTGTGTGTGTGTGTGTGTGTGTGTGTGTGTGTGTGTGTGTGTGTGTGCTGCAGGAGGCTTCAGGATAAAGTATGCAGCATCCAACATTTCAGAAGCACCTGATAATGTCGACTGAAGACGAAGCACGACGATGACGAGTTCCTCCTGTCGTCATGACTACGACAGGTACCACAGCAGTGAAGCGTTCTCTATAGGGCAGAGATCTGGACAGAGATCTGGTCAGAGATCTGGACAGAGATCTGGACAGAGATCTGGACAGAGATCTGGTCAGAGATCTGGACAGAGATCTGGTCAGAGATCTGGTCAGAGATCTGGACAGAGATCTGGTCAGAGATCTGGACAGAGATATGGTCAGAGATCTGGTCAGAGATCTGTTTCAGAGATCTGGACAGAGATCTGGTCAGAGATCTGGACAGAGATCTAGACAGAGATCTGGACAGAGATCTGGACAGAGATCTAGACAGAGATCTGGTCAGAGATCTGGACAGAGATCTGGTCAGAGATCTGGACAGAGATCTGGACAGAGATCTGGTCAGAGATCTGTTCAGAGATCTGGACAGATCTGGTCAGAGATCTGGTCAGAGATCTGGACAGAGATCTGGACAGAGATCTGGTCAGAGATCTGGACAGAGATCTGGACAGAGATCTGGTCAGAGATCTGGACAGAGATCTGGTCAGAGATCTGGACAGAGATCTGGACAGAGATCTGGACAGAGATCTGGTCAGAGATCTGGACAGAGATCAGCAGACAGTGCCTCACCAACACCTGGTTACCATGGGGACGACTCACCTGAAGTCATGTGACTCCCACTCTCTTCCCTTTCAGTTTCTTTTGGACATTTTTTGCACTGAGGGTTGGAAAATATTAAATTATTACTTTCTAGGAAGATTTTTTTTAAACTCAAAAATGAAGAGTTGAGTCTCGGCTTAAATGTTCTGATCCACTTATTTCTTAAGGAGTCTATTTATGCTTCCTTCTTGTGGTTTTGTTCATCTCTGATTTTATTGTTTGGAAGAACTGTGCAGCGGCTTTCAAAGATCAATAATCGATAAGCAGGAGGAGTTGTACATGTGGGTTCTGTGCACAATTGTGAATGTACACCTTCAGACAGGAATCTGTATATTTGAGGGTTTTGCTGGTTTTGTGGTTGCTGTGCGGACGGCCGGCCTCTAACCGTTCAAATCCGGAGAATCTTGTTTGACGCAAGCGCACTGTAGGAGCCGCAAGAGTTCATGTTGGGATTTTTCTTTTCTTTTGACCTCAAATCCACAAGAGATGATCAGTTTTTGCTTTATTAGAGTATACAAAAGTATTCATTTTTAAAAAAAAATATATATATATATACATAGTTAATATTTTAGATAGGAGACGTCTGTTTTAAATTAAACAAATGAAACCTGCTGCCCGACATTATGTTTTGAACATTTAAGGCTGGAGTAGGGATAAAAATTGGAAATCCGACAGAACTTTTCCGTGTCAAACCCCTGCAGGCGTTTCATCTGCCAGAACAGTGGCAGGTTATTACAGACTTTTTACCTCTGGACGAGATTTCTGTCAGAATCCTCACAGCATGACGACGTCACTGGAAGACGAGAAGCAGCCGCGCGATCCGAGGAGCCGAATGTACCGACAGAACGGAGAACTCGCCTCCGGATGAAACGTCTGCATGCTGGGCAAGATCTCTTAATACGTCGAGTGTTTTTATTTTTTAAGAAGAGGAGCCTTCTGATCAAATTAGCACACTGAGAGGGAACACCAGACTCTTTAGTCCCAGGATGGAATCTAATCTTAACTTCTTGTACTTTATTTTTTTTTTTCATATGTACACCAGTCTTGTTAACTGACACTTGATTACATATTTGTTGATAAACTTGAAAGTTCTTCAAAGCCCTCTTTGATTTGAAGCAGTGGTATCTTTTTAATGTTTTTATTCTTATTTTTTGGAAGGCGTTAGGCAGTGTTAGAGTGTGGAGCCCCACAGTGGAAGCAGATTACTGGAGATGCACCAAGAGACCGACTGATGGGAAGAACAAAATGTGAACTTCTCCCAAAGAGAAAATTTGTTGTTAAAACTTTTAAGTACTGAATTGGACATCAAGTATTATATCTCACTAAAATGACTTTTTATAACTACATAAAATGTTTGAAACACAAAAGTCTCTGCTAAAGCTGGTAATTTTCTCTATAATGGTGTTCAATGTTTAAATGAATTTCTGCTTATTGAGGTTTCATTCCAATGCAGACGAGGTCAAAAGCAAGACTTACAATCCAGTTTGATTTTGTTTAAATGTTTTTTGTGAAACCTAATTTAAAACAACATTCTTATACCATCTGTTGTGAAGCACGTAGCATCACCCCGTAGGGGGATTTATCGTGTTTAAAAAAAATCATATCTCCTTTTAAAAAGAGAAAAATTCATGTTTACAGATTAGAGCTGGATTACAGGAGTTTCTCATATCTGATGTCATTTAAGAATGAATGTTTCTTGTCATAATGAGCTGCTGCTCCTATTTTTATTCCCTCGCTCTGGAAATCTGTCGTAGATTGGTGCATCTCTAGAATTAGCAGAGCTTTCCCATTTAAATAAAAAGCCTCAATTTGTCATGTGTTTGATTTTAAACTAAGTGGAACTAAGAGCTACGGAGCTGAGAAATTTCTTCATGAGCGTCGGCTCAAACCTTTTCCTGCTTTTGTTCGTTGTTCGGAGTAGTGATTCTTAAACCTGGACAGGTCAGGGCTCAGGAAGTGTTCAGTCCTACAACCACCTCGTTTTCAGGGCTTCGTCAACATGCTGCTTTTATTTGATTTTTTTTTATTTGTGTGTGTGTGTGTGTGTATTTGTCGGCCTACTGTCACTGCAACTGATCTATGCATTCACGCCTGTTATTCCTGAATGTGACTGGACTGAGATTCCAGTAGTGGAAACTGTTCTCCGGTCCAGAAGCCCGTCTCCTGCTGCTGATCTGTCTCCAGCAGTTCAGGTCAAACGTCCTTCCTCCCACCTGAAGGTCGTGTTGAGCTCCAGATCAGAAGCGCTCAGACTGCCGGTGTGGATCAAGAAGGAAATCCGGTGTACATACTGAGGACACGTCTCTCCAAACGGCCTGTTTGATAACTGCCGTACTGTCCCTCTGCTGCCACCCTCAGCCGTTATGTTTACTGTACTTTGGAAAGGTCAAAAATATATTTCTAGAGTGGAATTTGGATTTTATGAAAATTGTTGATCTTTTTTTTCTTTAATTATAAGCAATAAATGCAAAAAAAAAAAAAAAAAAGTTTTGAATTACTTTGACTTTATTGTTTCAAGAGTTGGCTGTATTGGGATTTATATTAACCACTTTACATTTCTATTCAAGATTCACCAGCAATCATCAACTTACAAATATAAATTTGTCTGGAAAATATTCTGTTAAGCATCACATCATGACACGTCTGGCAAAGAGAAAGTGAAGCTTCTACTGATTTGGGAAAAGAATCTGACAGTAGAAATAACATTAACAATTTGAAATGCTCCCACAAAGCTAACCTTAACTAGTAGTTTCCACTTTGACTGAACTGCAGTCAGTTCCTGTTGTTCTGTAACGCTTCTATAAGGCTCTTGTTGTAGTCTGCCACCTGCTGGTAGACCACCTTAGCAACTGACTCGTAGTCGCTCTCCTGAGTCTTGGAAGCGATGACTGAAGGGAAAGTTAAAGAAAGTTTATTAAGACAATGTTCCTACTTACCATAATCAAATTCTCTTGATTCCTGAAGAAGGATAGCTGGAAGATTCCTTAGCAATAAACTCAAATGGCCACAATTATAGTTCAGACTAATTTTTACTTTTGAAGAGATATGAAAGTACTTGTAGTGAACACAGATAACAAAACGTTAGTTGTGCTAACCTTAAAATACTAATAAGTTTTGCTAACGCTGCCAGTATGGTAATTAGCAAAGCTAATGCTAATGCTACAACTAATATCTATCCTTGAAAGACTCCCAACTCTTGGGCATCAATTTAACATTAATATAATTTACACATTTTATAAACGTCTAACTACTTAAATTTGTGAAATTTTAGAGATGTCAAACTTTACTCAGCTGAACGTTTACAGAACAACCAAGCAGAACTGAAACATTAATCAGATTAATCATGATGATTGAAACACCTGTCAAATTGTTTAACTAGAGTATGTTCGAGAAAGAGGCCAAATAAAAAATCTGCAGATTGTGACAACATTTTTCATATGACTAATCAATAAATTGTAATCAATTACTAAAATAGTTGCTGCTCTGTCACCTAATAAGTTAGTCATTAAAAAATGTATTTATAGGTGGCTAAGTGCCAAATATCTTCAACACTATCAAAAAGGGCAACTTTCTAATTAAGCTTTGCTATTAAGTCTTTAGTGGAAAAAATATTTGAACTTGAACTGTTTGGTGCGTTCTGAGAAGGATACACTCTTTCATCACAAAGTTGTTCTGCTCCAAGTGCTGCCATTTCCTCTCCAGATTGGTCAGCTGAGACACCAAAGACACAAACACACACACACACACACCACTGAGTTCCAGAAAGAAACAAACGTGCTGAGAGCGTTCGGTTGGACATGTTGCCGCTCTAACCTGAGCGTGCGTCTCGTTCTCCTGCAGCTTGGTCTTGAGGGCTTCATGTTTCTGGTTCATCTCCTCCAGCAGCTGGAGGAAGGAGTTTCTGCGCTGACTCAGGGTCTGCTGCTCCTCCTGGAGCCTCTGCAGCAGCAGAACACAGCAGGCGCTCAGCGTTTGGGGAGGGTTGCTGCTGTGTCCCAGGAGCAGCGGGTCCTACCTTCCTCTTGTCGTCGGCGCTCCGCCTCAGGGCGTCCAGGTCTCTGTAGGTAAGCAGCTCCGTTTCCATGGTGCTGACCTGCTCCTTCAGGGTGCTGAGCTCGGCGCTGATCTTCCCCTCCAGCTGCTGAACCTTCTCCAGGTCCTGCTGCAGCCGGCGGGACTCTGCAGGAGGACAGGTCAGCCAGTCAAATCTTTGACTTTCCTCTGGGTTTGGGAGCGTTTGAGTTAAGGACCTGTGGTCAGGCCTCTGGCGGTGCTCTCTGATTGGACCACCTCCGTCTCCTTGCTGACCAGCACTTCCTGCATGTTCTTCAGCTCGCTGGCTGTCACCGTGTCGACGTGGCGCAGCCGCAACATGTTCTGGACACACAGAGCACACCTGCAGTTTTAATCGTCCTCCTCCTCATCATCATCAGTCTCTCGCGCTCACCCTGCTGCAGTGCTCCAGCAGAGACACGATGTCTTCCTGGCTCCTGGTCAGTTTCTGCTGCTCCTCGGCTCTGGACTCCTCAAACGAGTCCAGGAACCCTGAAACAGTCATCCATTAGAACACAGTGTCTGGAAAAAGTTCTACCCTTGTAATCCTTTAATGAACCAATCATCATCAACAAGATGTAGCTTTGAAAGGGCAGTATTATGTCTATAGTATCATTTTACCATCAGTTGTTATAAAACTGCTAAAAAATGTCATATTTTGTTGATCATGATGGATTCGTCACCGTCTGTCTGACTGTAACTCACTGTCTATTTCCTCCTCCTTCCTCTTCAGCTCCTTGTACTTCTGTTGGCACTCGCCTGATGACACAAAAAAGACTAATCATTCATTTGTATATTTCATTTGAAAAATGAATAGATAAGAACAGTTCAAGACACATAGGGAGCTGAGAGCATCATGCAGCAGCGTTACCCTGAGCTGCCTCTGAGTCCTGGTCCAGGTTCCGGATGTCCTCTGAAATTTGTCTCTTCCTGTCTCTGATCTCAGTGAGCCTGAGTACACACACATACACACACGTGCGCGCACACGCATGCAAACAAACATGATTACACCCAGCTGGCTCTAAGCTTTGAAATTAAAGTGTGAATACACACTGTCTCTCCATGCTGGCTATTTCCTGGTTGTCCTCCTTCACCTGAGAAGAAGAAAAAAAAACAGACAAAAATGAATCAAACTCATTTGGATTGAACAGAATCAGTCTACTTACACATTTTTCAAATGATTGGTGAATTTAATATCAAAATCAAAATTTTAATTTAATAGATGCATATATTTTTCAGTTTGTTGATGTATTATTCCCTATTTGGTCTGCGGGAGGTTCCGGCTCCTCCCTGAAGATTTCTACTTTAATTCCTGGTGATCCAAAATGTTTCTCATTTTGGAGCGAGCGCAATGTGAACGTTTCCCCCAGCAGTGAGGATGATGTCATATTCTGCTCTCTGCATGTTTCCTGTGTGTTTGTTGTTTCTGGATAAAAGGTTAAAGGCAGAAACTGCAGCTTTTGAGTTTGGAAGAAAAACTGCAGGTTTTAGAAACTTATCTTCCTCATCGCAGAGTCAAATGTAAATGTGCGCAAAACCTTGTTGAGATCCCACTAAAGTCGAAACACACAATTTCACAGTTACATTGTTTCCATTAAATAAGTCCACGTGAAAAAGTCATTACAAAACATGCCAAGCTGTCATTCTTCACTTCCTGTTGTTTTCGTCTTTTCTGCTGGTAGTAACATCCTGTTATTGATCATGTGATAGGTGGTCCCTTTCAGTTTTGCAAAATACAGGAATGATTTTGATGCGGCTGAAAAACCACCTCATTTAAAAAAGCCAGAGCTCCATATCAACAGATTAGTTTTTTCTAAATGTCAAATTATGCAATTTTAAGGTCAGTAGGAACAAAGCATCACAGAAAGACCACCGATTTGCTTCAGAAGTAGAAAGATGTTCTGGTTTGGTCAGATAAGACCAAACCAGAACCTTCTGCCCCGTAACCCTAAACACATGGTCCCAAAGAGGCTCCACCTGCTTCAGCAGCTTCTCCCTCTCCTCCTGGGGGGAGCCCAGGCTCCTGTGCTCGTCCTCCATGGCGTTGC